CTGGAATCCTTAAATTTTTTTGATAATCTTTGGCTATGTCCATATTAGGATAAAACTCTTAAATTTGCACGGTACATGTAAGTCTTCCTTTTAAACAAACAAGAGAAAAAAGTTGCAATTTCTAAAATAGGCATGAAGCAATTATCCTCGGATAAATCTATCATTTTGTCAACAAGAACTTCCTGATTATTCTCCTTTAAAATTATGCAACATGCTGTAAACACAAACACTATATTAAGATGTACACTTAACAAAAATTCTAAGTGTTCACAATGAAAAATATAACTTTTTTTTGAATTACACCATAGAACGGTATGATACTATAGTATTTTCAAATTATTATAACCAGTGAGTCTTCTCAACAATTATTAAAAGAAAATCAATTAACACCTATGAAAACCAATGTTTGGTGACGAACCTTAAAAGCAATAAATCTGTCCTTTAGGGCATTTTTTTGTAATCAGCCTCTGTTTGTGACCATTATCAACTTTAACAACTGGTATAAGTAAAAAAAAAAAATGGGCAAAATGGCCATTGCTGGAGGAGAGAGAGCCGTTGGAATGTTAATATCTGTATTTTCTTTACGACACATTTTATTCACTTTTATTTTCTTATTTATTTGTTAATGATATTAAAAATAAACAAGTAGAAAAATGCATTTTAACACAGTTTTCTATATAGTCTTTGCGTCATTCTGTATCGCTAAATCATCACAAATTGAAAGCTGTAGACAAAATGTAACCAAACCGGACGTGATTAAGATATTCATCTTGGCCAACTTTTGCGTCAAATCCAGCTTAAAATATTGTTATACATGGTCCTAAACAACTTTAGAAACATTTCAATCAGCACCTTCATTGGTATCAAAATCCCTCCAAATAAGTGTTCATAGCACATAGCAGTCATTTATCATCTCAGTCTGAATCATCCATAGAGAAGTACACTTAACGTGCGAGACGCCCATGGTGGGTCTAAATGTTGACCAAAAAGCATCTGTTTGATGGACTGACCTGCCAAATCCTCAGATCTGAATCCCATTGAACATATGGGGCATTCAAAAGGAATATCACCCCCCCCCCTTCCACACAATTTCAAGGGTTTAGGAAGCTCCGTGCAGTTGGTGTCACAGCAAATTGGCCAACCTCCTGTTCAAAGAGTACATTGTATCCACGAGAAAAGAATGTCTTGTAGTAATGTTAGATCAAGTGGAGGTCTTATTCAACAGCGTTTATTTTATGTGAATTTTCAGTTAAAGGGTACATCATGTCCTTGACACTTTGCTTAAAAGTCTGACGAGATACTTACATGATATTTTAGCAACATCGAACTGAAAGATGCATCATTTACTATGAAAGTAATGAATTATACATTGTATACATTTGTTCTTTATAACTTTAATAATGTTTGTTGAACACTTAGAAATTTGTTCCAATGTATAATATTTGCATAATCAGTGCTCTCTCCCTCTATGTAAATGTAGTCATCAACTGCGATCATAGGACTAAAGACGCGGTTGCTCTATCACACGCGAGTAGAACAAACTCTCCTACAGTTATATGACATGTTGAGAAGTATATAATTATATAAAATGTTTCGTAAGAGAAATAAATATAAGTTTTTAATAATAATCTTTGAAAAAAAAAAGAAATTCAGAATATCTAAAATTGCTGATTTATATCTTTAAAAATTCAGTTTTGGTCAATGTATTTAATTGTATAATAAAACTTTTTTAAAATTGTAGAGAACTGCCATATATTTATTTTTTCGTATCATGTATATTTGTACAAAAAATGATAACTCTTCACACTTTGGTAATTACATTCAGAAAGAGAAAATTTCTTAAACTATTATATCGATTTCAAGAATGATTTCAGCTATTAAATGTAAATAGAAAAACTAAAAAAAAACCCCACAGAAAATCATTCTGGAATGATAATCATTATATCATTGGAGACACACAGGACTGACAGATGGGAATATTAAGTTTACGCCACCCTAAGATCACGCAGGATGTGATGATGTCATATTTTCGACGTTCCCAATGCTTAAGCAAATCAACTCAGTTCTCGGTAGTTGCAGATATGGACCTCTCTGGTCTGAAAAAAAATAATCAATTGAAAAAAGTTCATTTTGATTGTGCACAAAAAGTGCACTAATTATCGATTTTTTTTTACTGTACATTTAAAAATTTTACTAACCATATGTTTCTCATACATTCCTTTCTACTTCCACTATACAGTCATGCATGAAACTCAATGGACCACCATATATGGCAGAATAAATTGTCAAAATTTCGATGACAACAATTTCAGGTCCTATAGTTAGGTGCTATAAACACCGGTTTAGGGAAATGTTTGTTGAGGAAGTTAAAAAATATATTATAGAAACACACTATTGGTAACATCTTAAGATTGTAGAATACATAAAAATAATGAAGAAGTGGAGGCAAAAAAACTTATATTTTCAGTCTTTTTAGGTCACCCGAGTCACTCAGGTGATCTATTGCTATCCGTTTTCATCCGTCGTCGTTCGTCGTGTGTCGTGTGATAACATTTGAACATTTTCAGCTTCTTCCCTGAAACCACTGAACTAATCTCAACCAAATTTGGTAAACAGCATCTATGGGTGAAGGGCCACAAAAATTGTAAATTTTATGGTCTCTGCCCCCTGGGACATGAGGGGTGGGGCCAAAACCACTAAATTAATGAAATTAAAAAAAAAAAATCTTCTTCTTTACTACTGGACACCAAGCAGTAAAACTGTTGGCAGGAATGTATTGACAAAATTAAGTCCTCTATCAAAATTGAGAAATTCATGACCCCAGGGACAGAGGTTCTTGTGTAAGGGCGGGGCTCTCTTGATTATATAGTTAAAAATGCATTAATTCTTTGAAAATCTTCTTTTTTTCTGGGTATTAAATAAACTAAGTACATAGTTATGATGAACAAGAGTGCCTCTTCCAAAATTGTGAATTTTATGGCCCCATGGTTATGGGTTCTAGTGCTAGGGTGGGGCTAAATAGATTATATAGTGAAAATGCATTAATTCTTTGAAATCTTTTTCTCTGCTCCTGGGTATTAAATAAACTATGTACATAGTTATGATAAGCAATAGCGCCTCTTCCAAAATTGTGAATTTTATGGCCCCAGGGTCAGGGGTTCTAGTGCTAGGGGGGGCTCTATTGATTATTTAGTGAAAATGCATTAATCTTCTCTGCTGCTGGGTATTAAATAAACTAAGTAAGTACATAGTAATGATGAGCAATAGCGCCTCTTCCAAAATTGTAAATTTTATGGCCCCTGAGTCGGGGGTTTTGGTGTTGGGGGGGGGGGGCGGGCTCTTTTGATTATATAGTGAATAGACATTATTACGCTGAAAATCTTTTTCTTTGCTCCTTGGTATTATGCTTATGATCTAGGTGTCTACATTTATGTTGAAGAAAAGTGTATCTAGCAAAATGGTAAATTTCATGCCCCCTGGGTCAGGGGTATCGGGGGGGGGGGGGTACATAGTCTGTAAATAAATTAACGCTTTGAAATCTCCTCTTTGGTATTAATCAACCATTTATGATGAAATAAAATTTATGATAAAATTTCCCAAATTTTGAAATATGGGTCCCAAGGGTCAGTGGTTCCTATAGGCTGGTGTGCACAACTGGTTAAAAAGTGGAAGTGCATTTTCTCTTTGTTACTCTGATCTACCTATGGGTATTAAGTAACTATAGTAGGCATGCTAAGTGTATAATTATAATAAGCATCGTCGCCTTTTTCAAAATTGTGAATGTCATGGCCTCTAGTTTAAAACACGAACCAAATTCAATTGTTAGAAAGTTGTTACACGATACTCAGGTGACCTATAAATTATATAATGTAATTCTATGTCTTCCCAATGTGGAATTATAATGTACGATTTTATTCATTTTTGGTTATCTTTGCAGATCAGGAATTTTGATTTAAAGTGTATGTGTTTTCTCAACTTTTCCCATTTTGTTTAAGACAAAAAATAAAGCTCGAAGTTGCACTTCCAGTACAAAATGTGTACATCAATGTACATTTTAATGGTACAAATCTCAATTCCAGTCTGAATTCGTATTGACTGATATCGGTACATCCTAAATACGCGTTTTTAAAATTCTATATAGACACTGTGAATATCAAAGTCATTTTCATTCAATTAATTTTCTAAAACCACAAATTTGAAACAACAAACGCCCGTCATGTACCTGAAAAATGCATAATTACCTAGGCAAAGAATACCTTAACTGGTAAAACTAACGAAAAAATCATCCTGAACAATGATTTAACAGGTTGAGCATCGTAAAGGTACAGTTTTCCTTCAAAATCGGGTGAATATGAACCAATTTATTTCCACTTCTATAAAAACAAATATTTTTCTCATCGTTACTCTATATTCATTAAATCTATCAACCTCCCGGAGGCAAAGAAGATTTTTTTAACCTTACAAGGCTTATGCACTCGCACTCTTTTATTAAGCTTGATATAAAACATTTAGACTAGTTTGTAAACCAAGCTGTTAAGCGATGTTAGTGTTGCATATTTTGTTGGTGAAACATATGGAAAAAATGAACAGTATTCAAGAGCAAAAGTCCGTAATACAATACAAAACAGGAGCAGAGCAAAAACTGACTTCCCAAGACATCAGGGGTGGGATTAGGTTCAACGGAGGAGTGACCATGTCTGAAACCTTTGACGTCGATATTTGTCGCAAAATAGGGTCATCTTTTCTGCGATTTTTATAGAATGACTGTCAAATTATCAATATCCTAAAAGAAAATGCATTTTTCTCGTATCATTCATATCACCCTTAAAGATTGTATGACAAAACTATTAATTTTTTTTAAAACACGACTCTCTCATGCTTAGTATACTTAGTTGGGTTGAATATTCATTGGATATTTGAAGAAGCGGAAGAGAAAACGATGTATTTATAACGCTTGTGACACTTCAAATTGCAACATTACTTTGGATCTTTAGAAAAACCAAAGTTAGCTTCAGACTCGTGTTTTTGACGAAGAATCGACTTAGTGATCTTCATATTTGAACAAATATGAGATTTTATTTAGTAAGTCATTTGGAACATCGGAAAAGTTATCATTAATTTTCACATTATAAAACAATCTTTTGTATCTTTTCAGTTTAATTTATTCCTGTATATGTGTACGTTATTCTTCCCCGTTGATAGCTGGTGGTTTGTGAGTAGCGGGAACAATAGAGGGTGTCCAAGAAGAGGTAGGTGAATGTTTTTGAGATCAGTTTATCATTGATCAAAAATTAGATTGAATTGCTTAGAAAAATCATGAAATTGCTCATAAGGACGGATTTGATTTTATGAAATGATTTTTCACAATCATTTGTCCATTCAAAATTAGCCTTCTTTTGTAAAAGATTTCTAAGTGGACTAACAACTGAAGAAAAATTTGGATAAAATTTTCTGTAAAACCCAGCCATGCCCAAAACCACATGAACTCTTCCTTGTTTGTAGGAATCAAAAACTTTGTAATAGATTAAGCCAAAATAAGGGTAACATAACCTTGATGTGTCATTGCTCCTGATTTGTATTGTTTTAATGGACTTTTGAGCTTGAGTACTATTTGTCATCTCAATATTTCAGAAAAGAAATTAAAAATGGAGTCCATGCTGTAATCATTTAATAGATATTATACTAAAACAAATTAATCTTAAACTAAAATCGGGGCTTTTTGTGCCCTGTCACTATGTGATTGCTATATTTGTCAGAATATGATGATAGAATTCATGATAAATATATAATGCAGAATTTAAGAAATACATGTCCAATACAAAAATCTGCTCAAAAGGTCAAAATCGAATCTCCTTAACTACGACATCACTCAAAAATAGTGTTTAATTCTTCAAATTACCTCAAAATGAATTGATTAGCAATTTTGAACTTTCGGAGAGTTTTAATCTAAAGCAAAATGTAGTCTTGGTTGTAATTTTGTTTTCAATCAAAATCCCTCAAAGAAAGTATTAATAATATGTCTAAATTAAGTGTAGTTGACCAGCAAAAGATTCAACATGCAGTCTAAAAATGTTGTGTTGTTATGGGTCAGAATAACCCTAAATGCCAGCAAGATCAATCACACAGTTTAAACTTGACAATAATTTATTTGAAATAATATATAAAAAAAGTACAAACTTACAGCAAGAATCTAAACATGCAAACAACAGAGTGTCCTTTACTGCACACAATGTCCCAATGAGTGTATCTTATCCAAGTCTCTTTGTACTCCGTATGCCAGTCTTTATAGAATTGACAGGGTATTTATGCATAATCATAACTAAAGAAAATTCTAGAAGTTGTATATACATGATGTAATTGGAACAATCTGGTCATATAAGGAATGCAAGATTCAAGACTCAAGATTCAAGTTTACCACTCTGAAATTTTCCAGATGTTTCTATCTGTTACGTAATATATACATTAAACAACATAAAAATATTTCAATTACACCATACCTCACAACACCCCCCCCCCCCCTTTAAAAAGTTTGAATTTCAATGAAAACTGCAACCGAACAAAAAATAAAAAACATACGTACATCAATGCAAAAACTTTTTTCACGAAACGCTTGACGAGGCATCTGCAATAACATCATAGTTGCCTTTGATATGTTAAATCTGACATTGTATTCTTGAAACCACAAAATCCACTTAGTTATTCTCTGATTCATGTTTGACAATTTATGCAAACATATCAAGGGGTTGTGATCAGTATATTCAAGAACTGGATGTAATGTAACATTGAAATAAACATCAAAATGCTGTAAAGCTAACAACAAAGTAAGGCATTCTATTTCAATGGTTGTTTCTTTGAAAAATAAGAAAAAGCCCTTTCTACCTCATCACTATGGTCTTGAAACAAATCTGCGCCGATTCCAACGTCACTAGCATCAACAATAAGCTTGAATTGCTTAGAAAAATCATGAAATTGCTCATATAAGGACGGATTTGATTTATGAAATGACTTTTCACAATCTTTTGTCCATTCAAAATTAGCCCTCTTTTGTAAAAGATTTCAAAGTGGACTTACTGCTGAAGAAAAATTTGGATAAAATTTTCTGTACAACCCAGCCATGCCCAAAAACCTCATTAACTCTTCCTTGTTTGTAGGAATCGGAAACTTTGCAATAGCTTCGACTTAAGCCAAAATAGGTGTAACGTAACGTTGGCCTACTTTGTGACCTAAATACTATACACAAGTATGACACAATTCGCTCTTTTCAAGGTTTACAGTTATGTTTGCTTTGGATAGAATGTCGAATGATGCACGCATGAATTCGAAGATGCTCGTCCCATTTCTTGCTGTATATGATTACATCATCGATGTAGGCCTCACATCCTTCGAGGTCTTGAAAAATTGAATGGGTCATCATTTGAAATGTAGCTGGTGCATTTTTCATGCCAAAAGGCAGTACTTTATACTGGTAAGTTCATCTGGTGTAGCTAAAGCAGATATTTCTTTTGCTCTTTTTGCTAACGGCACTTGTCAGTAGCCTTCAAACAGGTTAAATTTACTGACAAATTTTACGTTTCCAATGCTGTCAATACAGTCATCAATACTAGGTATTGGATATGAATCATTTTTGTAACAGAATTTACCTTTCTAAAGTCTGTACATAATCGGTAGGTACCATCCTGTTTTGGTACAAGAATAAATGGTGAACTCCAGTTACTTTTACTAGGCTCAATAATGTCATTGTCCAACATGTACTGCGTCGCTCGCTGGGTGCAATGGTTAGAACGTCTGCTCTAGAGTCTCGAAGTAAGGAGTTGATCCTAACGTCGCGGGTTCGAATCCCACTGTCGGACGTGGAGACCAGTCTTTCGGATGAGATTGTATAAACCGAGATCCCGTGTCGCAGTAGGTACTGTCACGATAAAGATCCCTCCCTGCTCAATGGCCCTGAATGCCGAGTATAGTACAAATTTTATAGCTCTCCACCGGCAAGTCTCCATTTGAATGAAAATTTCTCAAAAGGGACGTTAAACAATATACAATCAATCAAACAATCCAACATGTACTGCACCTCTCTTCTTAGGACTGCAATTTTATTGGATTTAAACAGTAAGGATGTTGTTTGATAGGCAAAGCGTCGTCCTCCATGACAACATGACAAGCTGCATTAGTTTTCTTTGGAACATGGAAAAAGATTTGATGATACTCATTCATCAACTTTTTAACTTGTTCTTTTTGGTAAATGTTCAAATTTCTAAGTTTGGCATCAAAATCAGCCAAAATTTCTGAGTGGGTTTTCAAACGGGAACTCTGGTATTAATCTTTTTCATTCATCTCTACACTCATTTCACTTTTAATGCAATTTTTATAAGGGCCAGAATATGACCAGTGATAGAAAAAAAAAATAGAAGAACCTTATCACCTGGCTAAAAAATTCGATTTCTGGCATTTTTGTAATACCACATTTTCATTTTCAACTGAGAACTCTTACTTTTTTTGTGTTGAATTATAAGCATCATGAATTTAATTTCAAAGTGTCTCTAAGCATATAACCGAAAACCAGTTCAAAAGGACTGAACCAAATTTACTCCTGGACTGCCTCACGTGCAGCAAACAGTACAAGATGAAACCCTTCATACTTTTTTGTAGGATTTTCTAACGACAAATAACATGCTGTAGTAAGTTTAGATGTAGTTTCATGGTTTCCTACGGGTTAAACTAGCAAGTTATCTCATTTTGTGGTATTTTTAAAAATTGTTGGTTATGTATAATGTCATAGTTAAGTTTTCCCGAACAAATTAGGCTCCGCTCCCCTCTTGTAACCTTAACTGTGCTGCGTAAACGGTTCTTCAAAAGCTGGAATTGGTTGGAGGGGAGCAGGCTGTATCTTGTGACTAGGTTTATCTACCATAGGACAAACATGACATGACTTACAGGTCGGCAGGGGATGCTCACTCCTACATGGTACCTGATGGTACCCCTCGGATGTTTTGGAGGTCCTATTACAAGTATTACTGACATATAAATGACCTGTCATAGGTGTGTCTTGAGCTAAACTTTTGCTCATCTCCAGGATAAACAATTTAGACCACTCTCTGGTGAACAACCCGCCACAATTCAACTGAGAAAGCATCAGGTGGTTGGGATTTTTACATAAGCGTGTCATCTTTCATATAAAAGCATTATCCAACTTTAGTGGCTTCTTCTGGTGGAAGTGCCCTCTTACTAAGTTGGATGATATATGGGTCTTTATATATGTTGCTCGGAAAGTAACTGCTCTCGGCTGAAGATTTGTTTAGATTTACGACTTTTTAGGGCAATAAAATTACTCAAAATCCTATTACAAGTATTATTGACATAAATGGCCTGCCATAGGTGTGTCTTGAGCTAAACTATTGCTCATCTCCACAATAAGCAATTTAGACCTCTATCTTGTGAATAACACGATAGTTAATGCATGTCAAAGGCATTTTTTAAATCATTAAAAAGTTTTGTTTTCTAAATATCAATATTAAAACTTCAGTATAAAACAACGACAATCTCAAAAAGTGCAAAAAAAAAAAAAAAAAAAAACAAAAAAAAAAAAAAAAAAAAAATTTGACAGATAAAATTGTCCTTGTCTTGGCTTACTGGTGTCTTAAACTCATCATCATTACCACTTAGTTTGGTAACGATTCATATTCCACCGGATTGTTTGAGTGCCATCAAGGTTAGAAAAGAGAGTATCATTTAAATGAACGTCAGCAGAGAAATTTGTCCTGTCAAAGACTTGAATAGAGTCAACCTCCATTTCTCGTCTTCTGGTCATCGCTTTAGTAACAGCAGGCTGTATATATGTCATCGTCCTCTTCATTCCACGATATCTGAAGTGATTTTTTACAAACTACAGGATCAAGTACAAACTTTCCACCAGCTAAATCGTTGCCTAGCCACAAAGAAATGCCTTTAACGGGAAGAGTAGGTCGAACACGTACGCGTACATGTCAAGTAACTAAATCTGACTTCAAACTAATTCAATGCAGGGGATTATCAATGACGCCTAGCTCAACATATTGTAATAAAACTGATCCAACGGAAGAAGTCTGCTCAGACAAAGGAAGCACGCCCTCTAACAACAAAGTCTGTGCAGCACCGTATTTCTAAAAATATTGGCAGGTTACTTTCTCACGAGCCATCGAGTGAAACAAATCCCTGAGACATAAGGGGCTTATAAACTTCCATAGAATCAGTAGAACTAGACTTTGAACCCTGAAAATCAGGAGTTATAACAAAGCTCATAAGCATGTGGCTGAGTTTTATCAAGGTCTTGTTTTCTCTTAAGGTTAAAACATTCACTTACCTTTTTAATTAACTCACCTGAGCCGAATGCTCAAGTGAGCTTTTCTGATCAAAATTTGTCCGTCGTCTGTCGTCGTTGTCGTCAAAAACTTTTTACATTTTCATCTTCTTCTCAAGAACCACTGAGCCAATTTCAACCAAACTTGCCACAAAGTATCCTTAGGTGAAGGGGATTCAAGTTTGTTCAAATGAAGGGTCACGCCCTTTTACAAGGGGAGATAATTATGAATTAGAGAAAAATTAATGGCGTTTTTAAAAAATCTTCTTCTCAAGAACCACTGGGCCAGGAAAGATGAAACTCATATGGAATCATCCTCAGGTAGTGTAGATTCAAATTTGTTCAAATCATGACCCCTGGGGCTAGGGTGGGGCCATAATAGCTGATAAAATTTTAATATATGAATATATAGGAAAAATCTTTTAAAATCTTCTCATGAATCATTGAGCCAGGAAAGATGAAAGTCATGTGAAATCATCCTCAGGTAGTGTAGATTCAAGTTTGTTCAAATCATGACCCCCAGGGGTAGGGTGGGGCCAAAATGGTTGATCAAAGTTTTACATAGAAATATATAGGAAAAATCTTCAAAAATCTTCTTCTCAAGAACCACTGAGCCAGGAAAGATGAAACTCATGTGGAATCATACTCAGGTAGTGTAGATTCTTTGTTCAAATCATGACAAATTGTGACCCCCGGGGGTAGGGTGGGGCCAAAATGGCAAATCAAAGTTTTATATAGGAATAAATAGGGAAACCTTTTAAAATTTTCTTTTCAAGTACTTCAAAGCCATGATTAGTGATACACTGTATTTATGTGGAATCATCCTCAGGTAGTGTTGATTCTAGTTTGTTCAAGTCATAACCCCCTGGGGAGTTAAAATTCAAGCCCCCTCCCCCAACCTCAGTAAACTTTCAGTTCTGATCTGATATGTTTTTTTCTTAGCCGATGTGCTCAGGTGAGCGATGTGGCCCCTGGGCCTCTTGTTACAATAACTACAAGTAGGAATCGACCCTACATGTATTCTACTGGAATCTTTCAAACGTCCAGGACACGAGAACCACCTTAGTAAGGACACTGGGGACTTATGGAAGACTAAGACCCTGAACCTTTTTTTTATGCGTCTGAATTTGTAGAATTATTGCTAGTGTGAGATCTTTCAACAAAATTCTTTTTATGAGACAGAGTATAAGTATCTGATATGACTGCTGCATCTTCAAAAGTTTCGCATTCTTATCAATGATGACTTGACGCAAATTAGCCAAAGTTGTATTAAGCTTCTTAGATCTAATCCAGTGATCAAAGAAATCTTCTTCCTCGCGTGATAATTTTAAAAATGTTTGATAATCAAACTTTCTATACTTTCTGAACTTTTGTCTTTACGCTTCGGGTACTTATTCGTATGCTTTTAATATTGCTGCCTTTATTGACCTTGTCATAGTCTGAACTCTCAGCTACCATGAGTGCAGAGTATATCTCAGATGCTTTGCCACCCAAAGGACGGTTCTGTTTTGTGCTGTAATTTTAGTTTTCCTCACTCAAAGTTTTGTTCATGCTCTCTTTCTTTTTCTCGCATTTGCTTTCTTCTGTTAATTTTTCTAACTCAAATTTCCGCTCACGCTTTAGTTATTCTCTTTCTAATTTTCCACGCTTAAATTGCATTTTCTCTAACTCGTCTTTGACATCTATAAGATTCTTACTCTAATTTAAATGTATATTCTAGAAGAAGAAATTTTCGCGATGTTCGCGAGAATTTTGAAGATCATATTTTTCAAAAATGTTTCCTCTACTACTTAAACCAACTTTTATTCGGTCATATTTTTCAAAAATGTTTCCTCTACTAGTTTGGTAGCAACGTTCATTCTAAAATGTCTTGCTTTCTCGAAGAAGATTTAACATCTCTCCCTAAGTGCAAATCTAACGCGATCAAACAATCCTTTTTAAACAAAAACCTAAAAACTTGGCGAGTTAAGAACTTCTGTGACCAAAAATACCATGTTTATTTCTGCTGGCTTTTCATTACTTTTATTCAACAAATCAAGTGTCAAAATTGTGACAGTTTTAACTGCAAAAGTGCAAGAAAATCTTGATCCAGGACGAGCCCCCAATTCTGTAATGGATCAGAATAACTATTTATGCCAACGATCAAACACAGAGTTTAACCTTTACAATAATTTATTTACAGTAATACATACAAATCAAATCTGAGTCTACCTAATGCTGACAGATACATGTAAACTAGTCCATATCATGAAGCTAATCTGATTCTACTTAACGCATACAGATATATGTAAAGCAAGTCCATATTGTGAAGCTAAATTTATTCTACTTAATGCTTACAGGTAGTGCTAGTCCATACTACTTTGGAGTTACAGACCTGGCATGCATGAACGACAAAAAGCGAAAAGGCAAACGCAGCGCACCTGCAAGAGGGATATGGGACTATACCCATCGCTTTATCTTCTACAGAGGGTATTATTTTGAATTCTTTGGTGAGTTATTTGTTTAATTGATGTACAATTGTACTAGGAGAAAGACACAAAAAGTAAAAAATATGCAGTATTTCATTATCATTGAATACTGATATAGGGAAATTTTAGATCATCAAACTTTTTTTTCTAAATATCAATAATTAAAACTTCAGTATAAAACAATGTCAACCTCAGAAAATGCAAAATAAAAACTGTCAAACTAAAGCACAATAAATACTCTTTCATATAAAAATTCCGCCACCCTAAAAAATTCAAACAGATAAAATTTAGCAAATGACACGTAAACCAAGACAAAACAAAATCAAACACAAAAGTGCTAATGATATGTTAATTATTATTACATGTTTTGTCTTTTTGTGGTATGATCTCAACATCATCTGAAATAAGGTATATTTAAGGTTACATATATTGAAAATAGAGGCGATGTCGTATTCTAATGCTTTTAATGTAAGTGTAAGAAAATTCTCAACAAGAAAAAGAGCCATATAAAAATATCTCATCGTTTAAAAGTTTACCAGAAATTTTTAATTGCGTTCCAGAAAAATCTCAAGGTAAAAACTAATACCGAAAATATCATTGTAAATAAGGTATTATCATTTTGAAGTTTACTTTCTATTGTATACGAGTTTTCACTTGTTAATAGGGAATGTTGTTTTTGAATCGGTATATACAAATTTAAAAAATTTTTAATTCAGTTGGTGCCAGTTTTATCTATGATTTATGTTAAAGAATCGAAAAGACCTTAACAAAGAAGACACAAACATAGTTTTCAAATGTAAGTCGTAGGACAAAAGACATCTATGTTCGAGAATATTATTAATTGTTGAAAAGACTACTTTTCCGCCTAGTTAATTCCAATGCAAGGATTGAAAGAAGTCGTGCAGCTGGAGGCAAGTGTGGAGGAGGAAGAGAAAGATCTCCAGCTGGATACAGCTATCTAAGTTTGGATTGTATCAAACGATGTGCAATACGCTATTCATCCAAATTCGGAAAGTACGATAATGTTATAAATAACTGTCACAGCTTTGCTAATAAAATGTCTGAAGTTTTATGTAGAAGGGGCAGCACGTGCCCGTCGTGGTGCTACTGATGCATACCAATCTCGAAATACAATGATCAGATGAGACTGTGGCAATACACAAAATTTAATATTTTAAAAAAGTATTGTTCTTAATTTTTTTTTTAAAAAGACATTGCTCTGTTCATAAAAAGGAGAGATCAAGGAGAGGGAATTAAGTGTATTAAATTTATTTGAGAAAAAACAAAGGAAAACCCGAGTGTATTCTTTATATCAATGTAATGCTTAATTTTCATAAAATAACTTACAATCCTTTGTTTTTTACTTTTAACGTGTGATTTTTGTTATTGTTAATTATTTAAACCAGAGGCACTTGTTTCGCATATATTGTATACTAGGTCTTCTTATTTTTACAGCAATGCAATGTACAATTCTTAAATAAAATGAAATTCGTAAATTTACTTACCTTGTCACTGGTCATTTGCAAAATTACTTAGTGTTAATAACATTCAGATTATACGCACAAGTACTCTAATGTTGATGTTTAAAAGAAGCTCGAGTTTCTGATTGACAATATCTATGTGGTTTTTGGAGACCAGTTCTTCCAACAATCTATTGGAAATACCATGGGTACCAATTGCACCCCGTTATAAGCAGACCTATTTTTGTATTCATATGAAGCAGACTTTGTTCACAATCTTTTTCGTGAATAAATTAATAGGTGGCCTTCAACGCGACATTTAGATAAATCGAAATTTAAATAAAGTAAAATGCTTTTACTCACAACGAAAAGGTTAATGAAACTACTGATGTTCATGTTAATACATTGCAACTAATTATATTTTTTCATGATTGCTATTAAACGCATCTGTTCCTTTGTTTATAATTTTCATTGAGGAGAACTCAAATATATATACTTTCTTATTTTCACTGATATAGAATTTCGCAAATTGAAATATTATTAAGTTTAAATCTATTGTTTACCTGAGTTTTCTGTGAATGTGTGGAGATTTTGTTCTGTCATTATGTGCTCATTTGTTGATAAAACGAAGGTGAGTGCTGAGTCTCATGTATCTTTCTTCTTACATGTATTCAACTTTATAAAAATAAAAAACTTGAAGTCAAGCCTAAAAGTAATATTCTATACGAGAAAATTCGCCACCCGGTTACAAATAGGATGACTAGTGTACTAAACGGGAATCGGTTTATTTACATTGAGCCTTTACCCGAAGAAAAGTATCTTCCCAGGATCAACTACTGTGCGGGCCTGCGCTGTCAGATTTTCCATTACGGTCAGCCTAATTCCCAGAGGAAACTCACATGTACTAAATGCTGGGCAACAGATCATACCAGGAGGTACTGTAATAACGCCCCGCGTTGTAAAGTTTGTAAACAGGAAGGGCACCAGCGTATTATCAAGTCCAAGAAAACGTAATTGCCTTTAACGGAGAAGACAACGTGCTTTCTAATTTTTTCCCTTGTGAATTAAATATTTATGGAATAACGCATAAATCTGCGGAACACGCCTTCCAATACACAAAGGCCGTTAGATGTGGCGATCTCGAGTCAGCCAAACTGGTCCAGGAGGCCAGAGATGCCCTATCAGCCAAACGGTATGGCGACAAGGTCAAACCCAACGAGCAATGGTTTGAGACCAGGGAAACAGCTATGACCGAAATCATCGAAAATAAATGTGTACAAGTCCCAATGTTTCGGGAGAAATTAAGATCGGTTAAGAAGGACATTATATTCGCCGAATCAACCTACAATGACATATGGGGCACTGGTTTGGATAAAAAAAGGTACGGAGAACACCAAAATTGATTCCTGGCCTGGAAAAAACCTACTTGGCAAAATTATCAGTAAAATCGGCAAAAAAATACGGAAACGAAAAAAAAGTGATCAGTGGAGCAAACCAAAACAGAAACAAAAACCGAAAGTTAACACCAAACAACGAGACATTGCACAGATGTTACATGCTTTAAGGAATCAATCGGATTCTGAATCCATGTCAGGTTTTGATGAATCATCGGACTCTGATTCAGACGACCCGGCTAAGAAGGACAAATAGATCAAAAACTGTGTAATGCTCGAACGTCGCAGGACTTTAATTCCCGATCAGCGGACTGGAATGAAATGTTACGGTATTTTTTTCTATAACAAATATATGCATTTGAAAATTAATTCTTATGGAAAAATTAGAATTTATCTCAGTTAATGTAAGGGGTTTAAATACCCCCGAAAAAAGACAAAAAATTTTTACATGGTTGAAAGAATGTAATATAGATATCATTCTGTTGCAAGAAACACATTTTTTAGAAAAAAATGAATCTGTATATAATTTAAACTGGAGAGGAAAAACATTTCACGCATATAGCGACTCTGCATTCAGTAGAGGCGTGTCTGTTCTGTTTAACGAAAAAATAGATGTTAACATAATAAATGTCAAAAAGTCTATTGATGGTAGGAAAATTCTGATAAATCTTGAAATCGAGGGTAATACTCTTACAATAGTAAATATATATGCACCTAATGAAATTAAGAAGAGGTGTGAATTTTTCAAAAAACTTAAGAACTTTATTTCAAAAAATTGTGTCAACGAAAATATTATACTATGTGGAGACTTTAATTGCCAGATAAACAATATTAATAATGTAGATAAAAGTGCAAATTATTTAAAAGATTTGATAAGGCATTATAACATGGATGATATATGGAAAAAACAAAATCCAGGTATGTCAGGTTTCACTTGGTGTGATGCAAAAAATGATCCTAAAAGTCGAATAGATTATGTTTTTATAAATGATTCTTTTTATTATAGCATAGCAAATATCAAGGTTAGAAAAATTCCAGGCACTCATTCAAACGGGAGTCGAATGAGTGACCATAGATACTTAAAATTTAGTTTTGATATCGATAAAACGAAAAAAGGTCCCGGATATTGGAAACTTAACGTTTCCTATCTCGACAATGAAAAATATAAAAAAGGTATCTTAGACATTATTCATAGTATAGATTCCTCTTTAAGCCCTATAATGACATGGGAGTTAATTAAACGAAAGGTTAAAGATTTCTCTATTTATTTTGCAAAAAATGAACAAAAATCAATTAAACAAAAGATAAGAACACTAGAACGCGAAATAGAAGATATGGAGAAAGGAAACGTAGACAATTTTAATTACAAAAGACTGAAAACTTTAGAAGCGGAACTTGACGCTATTTATGACAAAAAATCTAAAGGTGCGCAGATAAGATCTAAAATTAAATGGATAGAGGAGGGGGAGAAAAATTCAAAATTCTTTTTAAATTTAGAAAAACGCAATCAATCATCAAACGTAATTAAAGAAATAAAAACAAGAGAAGGAAATAAAATCAGTAAAACTAATGCCATTTTAGGTGAAATGTATTCTTTTTATAGCGAACTATATACGAGTAAAGAAATTTCAAACGAAAAAATAGAAAAATATTTATCTGAGATAGACGATATCCCTAAATTAAGTGAAGAAGATAAGATATTGTTAGAAAAATTTCCAACATATGAAGAGTGCAAGGAAGCTGTTGATAGCATGAAAAAAGAAAAATCACCTGGACTAGATGGCCTTCCTAGTGAATTTTATCAATGTTTTTGGGAAACACTTGGGCCTTTCTTTTATAAAGCACTTAATGATATTTTTGATAAAGGTGAACTGTCTTACACACAGAAACTTTCTATTATATCACTGATCCACAAAAAGGGTGAAAAAGATAATTTAAAAAACTATAGACCGATAAGCTTAACAAATACAGATTATAAAATTATTGCCTTTGTCTTTGCAAAAAGATTACAAAATATACTATATAAGTTGATTAACGAAAATCAAACGGCTTACATAAAAGGGAGATATATCGGTGAAAATGCTAGATTAGTACTTGACGTTTTTGAATACTGTGAAAGTGAAAATTCAGATGGTATATTACTTTTCTTAGACTTTGAAAAAGCATTTGACTCGGTTGAATGGAACTTTCTTTTCCAAGTCTTACAAAAATTTAATATTGGCAATAGTTTTATAAAGTGGGCAAAAATTTTATATACAAATCCAATGTTTAAAATGAAAAACAACGGCTGGCTTTCTAAAACCAGCGAAATGACGCGAGGAATTAGGCAAGGCTGTCCTATTTCCGCTCTCTTGTACCTATTCGTTGCAGAAATTTTGGCTATTAAAATAAAATGTGATACTGATATAAAAGGCATTACAATTAATAATTATGAAATTAAAAACATCCAACATGCAGACGATTTGACTGTAGCTTTAAAAGACGAAATATCAATGAAGCGAACTCTGGATAAATTACAAGAATTCTGTGAACATGCGGGTTCAAAAGTAAACATGCATAAGACAGAATGCATTTTATTAGGGGAACTAAGAAATTTATATGATGAACTCTACGGTATAAAAATTACGAATAAAGCAGTAAGATGTTTGGGAATATTCATAGGGCATGATAAGGAAGAATGTTACACTAAAAACTGGATGAAAATTTATCACGATATTGAAAAACTTTTTGAATCTTGGAAAAGAAAAAAACTAACGCTATTTGGTAAATCATGTAAAGTTAAGACACTTGCTATATCTAAACTTACATACGTTGCCTCAATACTAAGTCTTCCTGATAATGCTTACATTAAAAAAATACAACGTCTAATTTATAACTTCATTTGGGATAAAAATGAACGAATTAAAAGAAACACGCTTATAGGTAGAATTTTAAAAGGTGGCCTCTCAATCGTTGATATTGAATGTAAATTTAAAGCCTTAAAAGCAGCTTGGGTACCTAGATTGTTAAAAAGCAAAGGTATTTTGTACAAAATTTTTGATGGTTATTGTAAAAAATCAAATTTTGAAGTTCTCTATGTGTTAGATTTTTCTGATAGAAAAGTAGAAAATATGGAAAAATTAGAGAAACTACCTAAATTTTATCAACAAATGTTATGTTGCTTTAATGAATGTAAGCCCTGTTTTTTGAACAAAATGTCTTCCGATAATGTTCTTCGACAGCCGATATGGAACAATTGTAACTTTGTTTATAGAGGAAATACATTATTTTTTAAAAACTGGATAGCCAGTGGGAAATTGCATGTTAAAGACTTATTTGACGATGATGGTAATTTTAAATCATTGTTAGATTTTTCTAATTGTATAAAAAACAAGTCAAACTGGTTGTGTGAATTTAAAATTCTTTCTTCTGTTTTCAAACCTTTGCTACTAAAGTATGATTTTTCAAATTGTAAGTTTGTTAACATAAGATACAAAAATTATTTTCTTTTCTACACAGGACAGGTTAATATCATAGATCAAAGATGTAACTTTTTTTATGACAATCTTGTACACAGAAAATTTTGTAAACCATGTTATCAAATAGTTTTAAGCAACGAATTCAGTGTCGAACCTTCAGAATGGAAAAATATATATCAATGTAAATT